CTCACTTTTAAATAAATTAATCGGCGATGTAATATCTCACCTATATTATAATAATTAACAAAAGAAAACAATCAAGCAAACATAATTTACAATCATAAATTACAAACATCTCATGTCTAAAGTCAGACCCAACCGTACCGTCCCATCCCATCTTAAGGGAAATCAAGAAACAAACCTACGCCGGCAAGCCATCCCATCTTTGCATGCTTGTAGATCCAGTACTCAAAAACCCCATGATAGAAATCTGAAGAATCTCTTTTGTGATAGTTCCGTTTCCCAAAATTAGGAAAACTATATCCGAGTAATGGAGTACCTCTCAAGTCCCTCTGACGAGCTTCTGTCCTGGATGGGTGTATGGACACTTGGTCCAGTAATATGCATGACAACATGTACATCTCCTTACTTTAAAGTCAAATATCCGAAAATGATCACAAGAGCAAGTATCTGTCGAAGAATTTGTACTGCCCCACAGACCCAAAAGTCCAAAATCAGACTTGCATCCGATTAGTTTCAATGTATGTAATGTTGTAACTCTCCCAGCGCTTCCTGCAAGTAAAACTGGTTATTGTTATTATTGAAGTGGTTGCATGGTGCATTGTATTGTACTTAAGAGGATAATGAACATCAATTGTTTAATCATCAGCAAGGTTAGGCCGAGTGTTCTTTATAGTTAAAAGACGTTTTGTTCTATCAATTTGGTCCTATCAAATTTATACCTAATTGGTTCATTTTGTTTATTGTTTGAAGTTATTTTCCTGGGGAAATTAAAGCACCCCCACCAGGTGAAGATGAACACAGACTTCTGGTATATAAATACATGGAATGTGGCAGCTTGAAAAATCAACTTTTTAAAAGATAATTTTGTTCTTTATCATTTTAACATTTGAATCAATATAATATATTTTCTCAAAACTGATAATAGTATAATTCTTGCATTTAATGCAAGATATGGTTCACTATTTGCCTTGGCTAAGAAGAATGAAAAATTATTATTGGAACTGCGAAAGACATAGATATCCTCTATGAAGAAGAGAAGCCAGCCATATATCGAGATTTCAATAAAGACCAAAAAGGAACTAACATTTTATTAGGCTTGGTAAATATACATCCCATGCCCTTGCCTTGATATCATCTCAAAAAAGACCAAAAAGAAACTAACAAGAATAATGTTTACCTTATTGTCAGGTTTATAATGCAAAAGTCTTTGATTTTGGATTGGTAACTGACGGCCGAGGAGAAGAAGAAACTCATGTTACGACTTGCATGGGCACCAAAGGCTATGCCGTCCCCGAATATATATCAACGGGTATTTACAGCAGTTCAACTCGTCTCATTTCTACTTATATTAGTCTTGATTTCATAATCATTAATGAACTAATGTGATTTTAGTTTTTCAGGGCAAGCCTCAACTTTCTCGAGATATGAACCTTGTGGAATGGGAAAGATCTCTTTTTAAATAATCTAGAAGTCAATTTGTGTTTTAAAGAATCTTAATCACCATCTGATAATGAATGTTCAAATACTCTCAAAGTCGTTCGTGTTCGAATTTAAAATATCTAAGAATAAAATCATTTCTTTAACAACTAAGGTAATTTTATTTGTGCCGGTAAAACTTGGGGTTATGAAGGTAATTTCATTATCTTCTCAACAGTGACCGATCCAAAAATTAAAAAATGAGATTCAAAATTTCTAATATTCTTTTTTTTCATGTAAATTTTTTTACTTTTTCTTCTTCCCTAAATATATCAAATTATATTTAAAATTTGTCCAAAATAATAAATATACACTGGTGTCGAGACCAAATACATCCGCCCTGCTTACTGTTGTCTTAGAGGCCACCCCAAATGTAGACCAACTACGCGCAATGTGGTCTAGAACGTCTCCCTGACTCTTAATTGGCCCTTCTGTTTATGAAATCCCAACGAGGTACCAGTTGTCTAGAAGATTGAAGAAAGAATTGAGGAGCAATGCAATAAAGTCCCCAAATTCACAAAACTTTCAAATATTTTGGATTTGCCCTTAACTTTTTTTATTTTATTCAAATTTTTTTCATTTTTGCCTGACTTCACAAATTAGCCCTTAATCTTCCAAAATTTTCAAAATACTCTCAAACATGATCTTCGTTTGGTGATCCAAAACGATTGGACAGGAGCGACTATCAAAGAGATGATATTTCAATAAAGAATCGATTAACGAACCATCGGGGGACATCTCGATAGTTGGATTGTTACTCAACGAGACTAGAGATATTATTGGAAACGACTCGGACCTCAAGGTGAGATACATCAACCGAGAGGCGTATAGAGTAGCGCATTCCTTAGCACAGAGCCTTGTCGAGAACAATTCATTCTGATTTTATTATGATGAGCTGGGTTGTATAAAAGACGGTGCTATTATTGACGACATTGGCATTTAAATGAATGAACCTTTATCTTTAAAAAATCAATTTAATCCAGAACTAAAAATTTAATTTAAAGTCGATTAATAATTTATTTAATCTGACAAAATTATTAACCCGATTTTGGAACGTGATAATATATAGGTAATGAATAACGATACAAAATTTGCAAGGAAATCTCACGTACTTCAATTTAACATAACTTAATAAATTGAAAATAATCCAAGTACTTAACCAATTGACTTGGGTTCATCCTGCTCACACAATTTGTGTTAAAGTCACTGTAGCACAATACAACTAAGAGGGGATCTAGAAATTTTAAAAAAATATATCTAAAATTTTAATATTTTTTAATAGAGTGGGTAAGAAGATTTCTTTATTATTCTTCTTTCCATTAATATAGTAAATTAAATTTAACAATTTTTTAAATAATGGATATGTACTTTCTCCCAAAAGATTTAGTGCATCCGCCCCTAATATAACTTACTTTGCGAGAACTCGTGTGCATGAATTTGGGCGGGCGAGTTGAGGTGTTTGCGTGATTAAATATACAAAATAAAAATGTTTATTATTTTTTTATAATCATCGATATCTGATCTATTGATTGATTAATTTAAATCGGATACCATAAAAGTTTAATTTAATTTTTCTATTTACAAACACCAAGATCCGAATCTCTCACTTTACTTAAGAAATCTACTATTTTATCTCGCCAGACCAACCGGTTGGTGGTAACTTAAACAAAGAGGAAAACAAAATATATTGGTTCTTGTTGGACACTGATAATATACTCCAGAATCACATGTCTATCTTATTATAGCCTTGACGAGAGGGACAAAACTACATATAGTTCCAGAGGGGTCATTGCTCCCCCAAATTTTCTATTATTAAAAAATGTGGATAAATATCTATTTAGACCGTTAAATTTTGATTTATTTTGATTTTATTTATCTTATTTTTTATTATTAATTATATTTTAGTGCCTTGAACTAAAATTATGACTCCGTATGTAATTCGCAATGCTGGCGAGTGCCATAGATAATGGTCTTGTTGTTCAAAAGCTTTGATGTCAAAGATTTGAACTTTAATGAAATACTAGAATATCTTCAAATCGGCTATTGTACATGATACGTACATATTTTTTTATCTAATCAAATCCTTTGAGCTTTGAAAAGGGCAATTATACTATCCTCATTCATGTTCAAAAAGTTGAGGTAGAAACAAAAGTAACAACAGCCCACCAGCCAAGCCCATTTAGTAAAAAACATACAAAATGAAGAGACAAGGAACCCAAGTTTCTCGGTTTTCTTCACCTCCTTGCGTATCAGTGTGATTCAATTCAAAGTTATAAAGCATTAAAATAAGGGTAAAGTATACAAATGACCCCTGATTAGTTACTGTAATTTTGTTGAGTCTTTTGATTATTAAAAATTATAAAATAATTATCTGATTATAAGATATGATTTTATTGAATCCTCAATTATTAAAAGTTATAAAATAATCATCCGATTATTTATATTATCTAAATTCTTCCTTTTTTGTTAAAAAAATTGGCGGTTGTTTGAGCTTTATGTTAACCCATTAACTTGAATATGATAAAATATGATCCTAGAACGTTTAAGTTGTATTTTATGAAATTGATTATCCATTTATATTATGACGTCGAGTTAATACTTGAAACATTATGTTGTCGAATTAGTGTTTGAAAGCAATGACGGTACCAATAGACATCATTAAAATATACTTGTATCATATCTCAGTTAGCAAGTTATGACCGACAACCGTTAATTTTTTAACAGAAAATGAGGAGTTTGGAATATATGAATAGTCGATTGACTATTTTGTAACTTTTAATAGTAAGAGGATTTAATAAAGTAATGTCTTATAGTTATAGATTATTTTATAACTTTTAATAGTCAATGAACTTAACAAACCAACTGTTTTATAGTCCGGGAGCATTTGTATATTTTATCCTAAAATAATCCAACCTCAGCACTCCTAATTTTTGGGGGTTGACCTCTCTCTTTGAATTTTATCATCACAATCTAAAAATCCCATTAAATTCTCTCTTTACTTTCCTTTTCAAGATCCAATTAGTATTCCTTGAACCAGTCAGGTAAGTTGCTCAGTATCAGTGCAAATACAACTTACATTTGGCCTTTGGATCTTCCTATATTTCTTTCATTTCTTTGGCTTTTCATTTATATATTGGGCTGTTTTATATCTAAAAATTATATAATTTTGGGGATTAAATTTGTAGTCAAGTGAGCTTAATGGGACTTGGTTCCTACAGCTATGTTTGGTTAAAACTTTCAGTTCCAGGATCAGAATTCTATGCCAAAACAATCGTTTTCTTCTTTGATTAGATTATTGTTTGACCAACAAAAAGAAAAAAAAAAGTGGTTTGGGTTTAAGGGAAGCTTATGTCAATATGAGTCGAATTCTACTTATGTCTTAAATGTTTGGGTCTTCAATCTGGATTTACATGGTTTCAGTCCTCTTAAACGAGCATAAAAATCTGTTTTCGCCTCCTTTTATATGTACGCATACCCTTAAAATTTTATAAATTCATCCCCAGCATAAAATCTTGTAAAGAATTATCTTATGCAATTTCTCGTTCTCTCATGAAAATAAGATATTGCTTCTTCTTTTTTTCTTAAACAAGCTTGCACTCGGAACACAAAATGCAGATGTAGTGTGACACTGAGATTAATGATACTACAATTGTGAAGGATTTAACTGTTAACATACAGGGAGACAAGTGTTAAACTATGAATGTGGATTTAAAGAAGTCCTCTTCAAACAGCTCCGATACCTCTCTAACAAACGAGGAGCAGGAGGCAAAGGTATATTTTGTTTATACGATCCAACATCCCTACTTCCTCATATGTTATCATTTTGATTTTTGATAGATTTCGATATTTGCAGATTACTGAAATAAGAAGGCTGATAGGACCATTGCCTGAGAAGTTAGCCATCTATTGCTCTGATGCAGCCATCATTAGATATTTAAGGTCAAGGAACAGGAATGTGAAGAAGGCAACTAAAATGCTGAAACAAACCTTGAATTGGAGAGCTGAATACAAACAGGAAGAGATTCGCTGGGTATGCTACAATTCATCCTCCATTGATTTATACGTAGTTTCTTAAATAAAGTTAGAAATGCTTGCAGGACTTGAGCATTGATGATACTACAATTGTGAAGGATTTAACTGTTAACATACAGGGAGACAAGTGTTAAACTATGAATGTGGATTTAAAGAAGTCCTCTTCAAACAGCTCCGATACCTCTCTAACAAACGAGGAGCAGGAGGCAAAGGTATATTTTGTTTATACGATCCAACATCCCTACTTCCTCATATGTTATCATTTTGATTTTTGATAGATTTCGATATTTGCAGATTACTGAAATAAGAAGGCTGATAGGACCATTGCCTGAGAAGTTAGCCATCTATTGCTCTGATGCAGCCATCATTAGATATTTAAGGTCAAGGAACAGGAATGTGAAGAAGGCAACTAAAATGCTGAAACAAACCTTGAATTGGAGAGCTGAATACAAACAGGAAGAGATTCGCTGGGTATGCTACAATTCATCCTCCATTGATTTATACGTAGTTTCTTAAATAAAGTTAGAAATGCTTGCAGGACTTGAGCATTGAAGATACTAGGAATTGCCAATCCTGGGCCTTACTATCTTTCATGCACTCAGCATGATTCATTGAATTAGGAACTGAAAAAGTACCCTTAAAAGATGAGAATGGGTTTGAATTTTCATTAGATATTGGCTTTTAATCATAGCATTCTTTTTCATTTGCATTTGTTAATGTTCTTCATACTGAATCGACCCACGTTCTAGTAAGTAGTATCATTGGTCCGATCTACTTATTAGGGATGAATTCTGGTAACTTGGTAGCTTTGGCCTTTTCTGTGAAACAAATAGCTTGCTCAGGTCAAGCATAATTTTCCATATGGTGTTTTAATTCTGGATTTTTATGTAGGAAGAGGTTGCTCATGAAGGTGAGACAGGGAAGATCTACAGAGCAAATTATGCAGATAAGCATGGAAGAACAGTTCTTGTCATGAGACCTAGTTGCCAGGTTTCATCTCACTTCCTCTTTATTTCTGTGCAATTTACAAATTTAGTACTACATAAATGCTGAGACAATTTTGAGTGAACGGTATTAGAGTTAATGTGTGAAAATTATCCCTACACTAGAGTAACTAAAGTTAATGTGTGAAAATTATCCCTACACTAGAGTAACTAAAGTTAATGTGTGAAAATTATCCCTACACCAGAGTAACTAAAGAAACACATAACATCCTAGATCCCAAATGACATAATGTCAAAATTAGCTCCCAACCTTTATCAAAATAGTCATTTTGACCTCTAGTCTTTTTTGAGGGCATTTTGGCCCCAACGTTTTTATTTTGGGGAAAAAAGGCCCCTTTGTGGGTGTAAACCGTTAGTTAACAAACAGTTAATGCTCTAAAATAGGGGTCTTTTTATTCTAAAATGAAACTTTGAGGGTCAAAATGCTCTAGAAAACAGAGAATAAGAGTCAAAATGACTATCCAGACAAACGTTAGGGGCTTTTTACCCTAAAATAAAACATTATGGACAAAATACTCTAAAAAAGGAATAGGATTTTTCTCTATATCTTATGCCATTAGTTAGTCCAAAAAACAGCTGTGTACCAGTACCATTTGCCAACTTCAGGCTAATGATATGTTTGAATGTCTTTTGGATTAGTAAGCATGTATGCAAGTAGATCATGAGAGGAAAGAAAAAGGAACCTTTTCTTTTCCCATATTTTTGGGACCATACGACTGTCTATCAGCCGTGAAGATTCAAGTTTCAAAGCACACTTAGTTAAGTTTTATTTTGATTGCAGAACAACAAGTCAACAAAGGGGCAGATTAGGCATTTGGTTTACTGCATGGAGAATGCAATTTTAAATCTTCCAGCAGAACAGGAACAGATGGTCTGGTTGATCGACTTGTCACATATATCTGTGAGGGTGACACGGGAAACAGCTCACGTTTTACAAGAACATTATCCCGAGCGTCTAGGAGTGGCGATACTATACAACCCGCCCAAGTTCTTCGAACCTTTCTGGAAGGTAACCCATTTTGGAACATGTTCCTTACTGGTTTTCAGCACAATTTGAAACATTTAAGTACCATGGTTGTTTTACTTAATCAATTGTTTTTCATGTTTGGTCTTTGAATATTTTGTCAAGCAATGATCTTCCCCTTCACTTTACAAGATTATGTTTAGTGCCAATACATCTCTGGATGGTGTCAATCTCATTTTTTCTTCATTTTGTTGTTTTTCTGGTTATGCTGTAATCATATTAGTGTATGATGTAGGTGGCCAAACCTTTTCTGGAGCCCAAGACTCAAAACAAGGTGAAATTTGTGTACTCTGATGATGTGAATAGCAAGAAAATAATGGAGGATCTTTTCGATATGGAGAAATTGGAGTGTGCATTTGGTGGAAATGGTGACTCTGGTTTCAACATTAGTAAGTTCGCTGAGAGGATGAAGGAAGATGACAGGAGGATGCCTGCTTTTCGGAGTAGGGAAACTACTCAAGCTGCAGCTCCATCAGAAACCACGCCAATACTCTGTCATGTTTAGGATTATAAGCCCTCATCTTCAATAAAGTGTCTTGGTTACAGAGGGCACTCATAATGGCTCCATGGTATTTTCAGTAGAGATGCAAAAACATCCGACTGTAAACAACCTTGCTAAATGTTTTAGTGAGTAATATGAAGTTGAGTCGAGCTGCCCCCAATTGTATCATTGGCCTTTTCAAACTTCAATTGAATGGATTTGTCTTTCAGTCGAGCTTAGCTTTAAACTATTTGAGTCTAGTCGAACACAACAATACTCATTATTTGAGTCTAGTCGAACTCAGCAATACTCACGCTTTAACTAACTCATTTACAGATTAAGAACTTTTCTTGTTTTTATCATTGGCAAGTTTACTTTTTGATCTTCACAACTATTAAATCTTAGCTGAAAGTGTTTGCAACACAGGTTAAGCATGCAATTCTCTTCTTGTTAAGATTTCCTGGCATTGATGTAATGCTATCTTAGTATACATTCCATACAGACAGAAAGTAACCGATAAACTTGTTCTAATTTCATTCAAATTCTTGGGGGGGAGAGGGGGTGGAATTTCTGTCCATATTTTCTCAACAAAATGAAATCAAAGTACAAACCGTAAACAAAAGCTCTTTATTTTGTGTATCTATTACAGGGTTTGAATGTTCACTATCTGTAACACACTTAACCTAATCAGGCATATAGGTTGCTGCACCCATACGAAAAATCAACTGAGATGGCAGCTAACCTTTGGAGCTATTGGTCCATCATTATGACCAAAACACTTGTAGAGACAGCCCTGGAAAACATACATGAAACAAAAAACGGCATCGATCAAGAGTCGGAAAGGCGGACAGTACAAAGAAAATAAAGGCCAGAATTAGATGTTACCTCTATATTTTGAAGGACATGTCAATGCAACATCTCGTCTAATTTCTGCCTGTATTGAGCCAGCCTCTGCAAAAGTTCAATTAGTAGAATTACTATTACTTTCAATTAAGCTTAACAACTCCGGGTAAAAGGTTCAGACGAGTCCTCAAAACGAGAGGACAAACAAACTAATAAGTAAATCCTACTGCAAGGTTTTCTCGTTTTTCCTCGAGGTTAAGACATCAGCATCGATGATAAGATAGAATATAAAGCATAATGTCAACACAAAGAATTCAATCAGAAAAATTGTAAGAGGAAGTTGTGTACCCGAGTATAAGCATAGACTCCAGCCTCTGTTGGTGCTACTGGACTTCCCCTCCTAATGAACTTTCCCTCTTTAAAAATGTAAAGCATGGGTATTCCAGTTGATAGTTCCAAACTAATAACCTGTATCATGATGAATGCAAAACGAGTATACAAATTAAAAAAAAAGGTTCTGGGAAGATCGAAAACGTCCTGAATGGAACCAAAAAAGGAGTCCATACCTCCTGGGAGGTTAATTTGTCAAGATACATAATAATGGATCTTAATGAATTCCCATGGGCAGCAATCATGACATTCTTTCCAGATAGAAGTTGGGGTTCAATCTGCAAATCATAGATTTGTTACGAAGTGCTCCTATATCGTATGAGAAGACTTCAACCGTTAGATGATAGATAAAACGGATATGGAAGTTACATTATCTTTGAAATATGCAACAGCTCTTTGAGCACACATTTCCAAACTCTCGCCATTTGGTGGAGGTATATCATAACTTCTACGCCACTCATGAACTTTTTCCTTCCCAAATCTATCCATGATTTCCTGTTTATTCAGACCTTGTAGTTCTCCATACCTGCACAGAGAAGATCGTGCATGAATCATTCATGAAAGAGAAACGAGAAAATTAGAGGCAGAGGACAATAGGACAATCAGAAGAGCCTGAGAAATATGACTTCATTTGTCTCGGTACAGAGAAAAATAAAAAGTGATTACGTTCTTTCATTCAATTGCCAAGCCGCTATAACAGGAATAGATTGGTTGATAGTGTCTTCACTGTATATTTCACTCCATGCCCTCGCTTGCTCGCTCTCATTATGAATGATAATTGGCACCTAGCAAGAGGCGATTGTAAATAGGCCGTCAGTCTGATCGATCAAAGAATGATAAACTTACTGCTCATATACTTTTTAGGTGCCATATTTTAGGTGCCAAGTATCATCAAGCAGAAACTATACCATATTTTAGGTGCCATAAAAATTAATTTTTCCCCAAACTACCTTCTTGCGACGGTGCTGATTCATGGCTAGCATAGCAGTCATTTGTGCACGAATTAGTGAAGATGTGTATATCATTTCAACAGGTATGTTGCTAATTCTCTTTCCAGCTTGAATTGCTTCTTCCACTCCCTTCTTAGTTAAGGGCACATCAACGCAACTGTAAAAAGGTTCCTCTCGTTCCAAAAAGACTCACCATGGCGAATGAGTATCAAAGCTGCCTCATCTGCAATGAATATCCCGAGAGTGAGAAATCACAATATGTCCAAAAGAAAAGGAAAAAAACGAAGAAAAATGAACCTAAAGTTGTTCCCCAAGTTATGAGGAAATACCAAATCGCTTCCATCAGTTGGAATCAATGCACTTTTGCAGTCTGCCATTGCAATTTGTGAAATTAGGAGATGTACTACCTAAAATAACTACTGAAGAAAGGCTACATAGAGTGCAGTTCTAAGGCCTATAAATCGTGAAGGAATGGAGAAGATATATTATTTGCTAATTAAATAAGAAATTACATCAATGATGGTCTTGCTTACTCGATTTCTTGTGAGATTCATGGGGGGCATTATTCGAGGGAGCTAAAATAGGATCAACAACAGAGGTTTGAGATGCCGACGCTCGAATAACATCGAATTTCCTCTCTCCTGAACTATAAGTCCCTCTCTTTGAGAACTTAATTTCCAACTTAAAACCTTTGGGAAGCAACCTTACTGAATCGTTCCCCATTTTGCAGCGAGTTCCAGAATTGCTGAGAAGATGCAGATTCCAGACCGCTTGGTGCAACATAGCATTGGTCATTCTGAAAAGCCAATATGAGCAACTGCAAATATAAGAACGCCTTCAATAAGTAGATAAAATGAAGCAAAAACACAAGAGAAAATCATCATAATAGACAATCAAAAATCAATTGCTTTCTAAAGTAATAATGCATTTGACCGTCCATTCCACTAGGAAAAAAAGTAAAGCTATAACAAATAGATATGATTATGCCATTAAAGGTTTTTATTCATTCTAATCCAGAGTTAAATTAGGTTTAAGGCAGACTAAGAACCCATTTGAAAAGTCATTCATTTGGGAGGGAAAAAAACCGTGAAGAAGGAAACAAAAAATAGAAAACTCCCTATATCTGACAGATCCAAGGATTTAAAAGGGAGGTGCAATCAAAGATTCAAATTTTACATAACCCACAGGGGATTTTGTTCCATAAATCAAATGAACAATAAAGTTTCAGGACGATATGAATCCAAAAAAGATAGAGATTAAGAACAAACCTTAAAGACAACAACTCCAGAAACCGAAAACGCAATGGTGAAAGTGAAAAAAGGTTATTTGTCTTGATGGGTACCTGTAAAAGAAACCGACTTTGGTGGGGTTTATATAGAAACAAATAGTTGACGTTGTTGTTGTTCTTTTCTCTTCAGGTGTCAAATTCGGACCAGCTTAATCCAAGAACGCAATCAAAAATATTATTAAAATTATAACAATTTCGATCGAACATAATTTCAAACGTTAATTTCTTTGTACTCTTTCGTGTTGAATAAAAAATGTTACTTTTTCTATAGTAATTTTGGTTAAAACTCGAAAACATTATATTTTTTATGATATTTTTATTCAACTTAAAATATTAAAAAGAATTAAAATGAACTTAACATTTTAAATTATATCAAATCAAAATTATTATAAAATATTTTATTTTATTTATTTTTATCGTTTCTTAATTCTAAATTAGAGTGTCCTAGAATAAAATGACCACATTTTCCGTATAACATATAACATCCTGATTTTCTTTTGCCATTTTTTTTTTTTTGTTTTTATGGGAATGAAAATTATATGTATATATACACTTAAATTTTAAGCAAATACATTTGATTAATTAAGTTGTTTATTTTTTTTCTTTATATTCTCCTTTCTTTCCCTTATCTTAGGTAAGATTAAGGTTATATTTAAAATTTGTCAAGAAAAAAAATACACTCAAATTTATTTTAATTGTTTCTACGGTAAAGTACATATATAATCTCCTACTATAAAGCACTACTTTGTTGAGTCATTCGACTATTTAAAGTTATAAAATGGTCTCCGATTATAAGGTGTTACTTTGTGAAAATATTTTTCGTGAAAATATTGGCGGTCATCTGAGTTGAGCATTAACCTATTGACTGGGATATAATAAAATTTTATCTCACAACCGTTTGAGTTGTTTTTTATGGATTGAATTTTTTATTTACATTATGAATTCAAGTTAGTGTTTGAAATATTATACGGTCGAACCAATATTTGAAAGCAACAATGGTGCCAATAGATACCATTAAAAAATGATTTTATCATATCTCAATCAGCAGATTAATGTCCAGATCAAAAAGTCACCAAATTTTTAATCGAAAAGAATGAGTTCGGAACATATGAATAGTTGGTAATGATTTTTGTAACTTCTAATAGTTGGTGACAAGGAGACTAGACTTAGAGTTTGCTCGTTGAATGTAGGCACCTTAAATGCTAGGCTGCTGGAGCTGACCGATGTACTTAATAATAGAAAAATAGATTTTGCATGTATTCAGGAGACTAGGTGGAAAGGGGCTCGCGCCAAAGAGTGTAATGGGTACAAGTTGTGGTATTCAGGCGTAGATAATGCTAGAAATGGGGTGGGTATCTTGGTATCATCTAGGCTCAAGGAAAATGTAGTTGAAGTTTGTAGATACCGGGATAGGATCATGATGATTAAGGTTATTATAGAAGAGGAAGTGGTGAATGTCCTTTCAGTGTACGCCCCACACGTTAGCCTAGGGGAGGGGGAGAAACGTTGCTTCTGTTATCAGTTAGATGATGTACTTAGGAGCATTCCGGAGGACCAAAGAGTTTTCATAGGGGGAGACTTCAATGGCCATATAGGCAGTGCAACCGACGGGTATGACGGTGTTCATGGGGGTTTCGGTTATGGTAGCAGGAACGATGAGGGGCGTACGTTGCTTGAATTTGCTATTGTACATGATTTG